TAATGAACCATTCCTTTTCACATGGTTTTATTTTTACATTGTTCAGATGGATTTAATTAAGAATAGTGAAATTAAAACCCAGTGAAATTATAAAATTTAAGTAGCATGTCCTTTTGGCCTGTGTTAATTTCTCATATAAGCACACTCAAAACATTGAGGTAATGGGTTTGGCAAATGAGCAGCAATAAATAGTCAAGAAATATTTAGAACATGCACTGCTAACTAGGGCAAGGTTTTCACCGAGTTTGAATGGCTGTGTATTGAAGAGGATACAACTAAAACAAATTCAGTTTCAAAACAGACTGAAATAATTACGATATCAAAACGATGCCAAGAAATCAGTAACAATATTCCCTTCCTTCTTGGTTTATTCAATTACTTTACAAATACTATTCTTTTGCCATTTTGTGACATTAAAATTATCTCATGTTGACATTAAATGCGTTATCAAATTCAAGATATTTATTATTCTGTAGATTTTGCTGCAAAAAAGTGATTATGATTCATTATATTTATGCATAACTTTAATCTGAAAGTCAGAATAACAAGAGAATCATAGTAAAGACAACAGAGAAATAAATAAATAAAAGAGGTGTGCCCCTATCATTTTTACCATTCCTTCTCAACAAGAATCCTACCACACCCATTCACACTATAAAACAAATTTAACCTCAGTATAAATCTATAATGCACCACCAATAAACATTTCTGCAAGATATGGCATCAAAATGACAGATTTTTGTAATGTCATTTAAATAAACTCTGGTTGTGGTCATTCATCAATTATAATTACGGCAAATGTCTCAAAAACAGTATTTATAAGGACAACCACAAAATCAAAACACTTAATGCTCTGCATCCCTTACATCTGTTTACGTCAAATAATTGTTGTTGCTATAGGAACGGTGTATACAAAGTTGCATTTATATCGCTGCAAGAAATAATACACTTTCAATGATAATTTGTGTTTATTCAACTTAAATTTTGTTATATATTTCATTTATATAGGAACTATAGAAGTATGCGAAAGCTGAAAAATGTTAAGTCAGTCTGAATTTTTTTACATGATTTGATATAATTACAACATTTGTATAATTATTTTTAACACAAAAATACAACTAACCCCTCTATTAATATGAGGTTATTACAAGGATACCTCAAAGTATGCACGAAGACCGTACAAATGGAGTATTGACCTACGCATATCAGAGGTTGATGCGACGGCGTACTGTCTGAGTGCATTCTTTGAGGTATCCTCGTAATAACCTTATTATTATACATCTTTTCCTTCCAAGGATACATCATGGGAATGCCGAAATCCAAAAAGTTTAGAACAGAATCAGCGAACTTTTTTGAGTGGAGTCCGGTCAAACTCTGGTGGCAGCCATGTTTGTTTTTATTATTGAAGGACGCTTACGTGCAAAATCATTCCATATTTGGAATTCGCATTTCCTTATATGGTAGAATGAAAATACCCTGTAAATTACCGCAAAATTATGGCACGCTGTAACTTATGGCGTTATGGTGACAGATGTATAATAATATATATTATTACTTTTACAAATATGATTTTTTTTTGGTATGAAGACAAAAGAACTGAACATTAAATTGTGATCAGTTTATCACGCTAGTTTTGATGTCAAAAACAGCAGGAATAGGGAAATAGATATTCCTAGGACTTGACCTCCTACAATATTATTGACAATCAGCTTGGCTTCCTACAAAAGACTCATGCCCCTCCCCCAAGTCACCAATAGTTTGGCCTTCCCAGTAACCAATACCTTGGCCTCATCCCAGTGACACATGATTTGACCTGCCCCTGTGACCAATGTGAAGACAATTTTGAAATTCAATCCACAATCCACGAAATATGATTCACTAGAGCACCATGTAAGGCTGACTGAGCTAATCATGACTGGGTCATCTCCATTACTAACCAACTGATACATCTCATACCAAATCACTTGTATGCTCTTGTATTGTATGTAAACAGACAATATTTTTGTGAAACATATTTTAGGGGAATAATATTAGTGACATCACAGCAATGTAAATACTAACAGTCTCTTAACTATAGTTAGAAGATAAAGAACTGACAATAATATATGCAGCAGGATTCAGGGTAAAAAATAACAGTGTTTACAAACTAAAATAATTATATGTTTAACAGTTTGAAATTATACCAGTTTAAGTCTGGAGAAGACTTGCTAGCACAGTAAGGTGTTGCCAAAACTAGGTTTAGGTATTACTTAATTCACAAGGAACAATAAAGACAAATGTGTATTATAAAACTGTATTATATCTTTAGGAAAAAAGTTTGTCAAAATACTGTAAAATGCTTTATTTTCGCTACTTCGCTACTTCAGTGAAAATAAAATCCAGCGAATAAACCTTTTTTCCTATATTTGGCATTCAACTTTTCAAAAATCAGTGAAAATACATTCCATACAGAACACTTAAAAAGTCTTTCCAGCAAAAATTAATTCCTGCTAAAATGAAGTATTTTACAGTACCTGTATGTAAAAATACAATATGCAACTTAGCTCACTTACATAGTCTAATAATATGCAAATTAATAATCTGCTACTCATTTGTTTGTGAAATTAAATTCCAGTGAAAATTAATGCTTTTTCAAACTGTACATATTTCTATGTGATATTGGCTGCCATGCCAACGAAGAAAAGCTAGTCAACCATAGCCTCAACTACACGACTATTGCTTGACTAAGCATATGATTTTTTTAACAGTAAACATGTTGCTCTTGTTCAGAGACATAGTAGTTGCTTAGATTACCATGGTATCATTACTGTGACACAGCTTTCAGCAGTCTTGTACACGCTGGATCACTGGAGAACAAGTTGTCAGTGTAATATCATACACTGCAACAAGGTCACAGACTACATAGATTTATCACACGCCCCAAGCTGAGCATGCAACTAACAGAGCATACCATAATACTTATGTAATGGTAATTAAAATACATTGTTGTCACCCATTATTACTATTTCCAATCTGACTACTGTTTTAACTCTATTACAAGCACATCTGACTTGATTTCATTAAATACCGCTAGTAGTTGTCTATGCAGAATAGAGATAAGCTACGCAAGGTAGTGAATTTGAATCTGTTTAAAGCTAGAAAGTGCAAATTCAGTCTAAACCAGTGAAGTGTACCTAAATACAAGTTTATAAAAGATTTTACAATGAAATACTGCAGACGATTCAAACTTTACAACTTGATTATTATTCTAACCATACTTCACAAAATTTAGCAATTTTCAATGACTCACCAAATACACCAAAATTCCCTTAACTTTAGATTAACTTGTAAACAATTTGCCAAAACCCAACATTCATGGACATTTGGGAACACATGCCATTGAGGTTTATAATTTAAAAACTAGTTTGTATTTTTTTATTCAGAAATCCAAAACTGCTAATCACAAAGAATAATGTAGCAAATTACTTAAAAGTGTTAGGCATGTGTACCAGTAATTTAAACAACTTTTGAAGCCTATCATGTTAAAAACGTTTATGTCCACACGCCCAATGAATACTTATTTTCATTTTGTGAATTAAAATTATTAGTTTTGAATAAACTGGCAAATTATTAACGTAAACAATATATTATTACACACAAGTTCTTTGCAAAATTCAAGTAGTTTATTTGGGCTAGTACTAATAGTTTTTGAATATGGTAGCCATGACAACAACTGATAGTATTTTATGCCATGATTACAACAGTCCTAGTAATTAAATGTATTGTGTAGATTCAAATAATTTAAGCTGAAAAAAATGTGTCAATATTTATTCATTTTATAAAAATAGCATGAAGAATATTCAAAATGATAACAAAAGCTGGAGATAATAACACACATTCACAACATCTCCAGGCTTGTAACACCCAATGACCTGGTTATGACCTCAAGACAGCTCCAGGCAGTTTAATAGAAATAAAGATGACCCAGTCTAATTAATATGAGGACAATATTAACACATCCCAATGATTTTGATGCAGACAGCAAATACATATAAGCTAAGTATACCATTATTTTAACCACAGTCCCGCCACACCGTGTTTTAACATTGATAAAGCTGTGTATTTTGTTAAACAAAATAATGTTCATATTTAGATACAAAACAGTTGACACTCTTGTGTGATAAGAAAAATATGTAGAAATTTGAATGTTAGAAAAGGATTGGTATTAAAAAACAAACGGCGGATTTCATGGCTTCGTTTGGGAGCAGCGTCTCAGTCGGAGACAAAAAGCAGATCTCATGCAACACATTCAAATCTAGCTAACATAGTGGCATGAGTTGAACTATTTTGACACTGGGGAAGAGAATAAAATCTGTCGGTACAAAACGGAAAATTTAGGCTAATAAAGTATTGATAAACTTAGTTGTTTATTATTATTTTATCTCGTTTATGTTTGAGAACATGTAGTCATGGTTTTGCGTCGTTTTGGGTCCGGATAGGTCACCGACGGTCTGTGAGTAAACCTATCCAAAACGACGCGAAACTACGGCTAAAGAGCGAGTCCCTGTGTGAGGCCCCATCGCCGACATCGTCGCTCATTTTCATTGTTTTATAAACATTCGATTAGTTTGAGAAGATGTGTAGAAATAGATGATCAAATAAACAAACGCCACGCTGACCAAGTGTCAAACAGTTACACACTACCGAATCGCCCATCCGTGAAAACTCCCAAGACAGGGATTAACTTTAGTTTAATTTCGGGGCTTGCGGTTATATTGCAAATCCGTGAAACGTAGACGGTCGAGTTTTTGTTTTCCATTTTTACGACGTCCTCGGCGTGTTCAAGTATTTTGGATTACTCACCACCAAGTTCAAACAATTTTGCAGCTGCAGTTAATTCAACACCCGCAAAGATATCCGCCCAGTCTAACGGCGAAACTTGAAACTCGTGTAAAACTGGGGACAGCAAACATGGAGAGCAAGTTGACGCAAAATTTCGAGAAGTGCGGTTGAAAACTTACCCCCACGAACCAGAGAGAGCTCAGTTAGCAAAACTGCTAGGGCTACCGCACGTCTGGGTCCCATGGTTCTCGAAAATCTTGAGAACAATCTGTAAAATCCGCCGTTAAAAAATAACACATCCAGAACTGTCATCAGTTGTGGCCTTCTCCCATCTCAAATTTCACTTTTTTACGAACGTTTACTTTATCAAACATCCGGGTACTTTATTTGCGCGTCCCACTATCTTATATTTGTCACGTGTCTAAATATAGCTCATCGAACGAGGGCGCCAACACTCTTTCAAAACAAAATCGTGCGCGGGAATTGTTTCTTTCAATGGTCTGAGGTTAAAACGATAACCAAGTCATTACCAAGTCAATACTAATTCTGTGAAGTGTTTCTCAATAGAACTGAGCACTTGCTTTTCACATACATCTTTGTTTCCAATTTTTTGGAGTGTGGTTACTGAAGAAAAAATAATTTTGACCATAAAAGATGTTCTATTTCGAATTAAAAAAACAACAGTACTAACAAAAAATCACTTTGAATATATTTATTTTCACCCCAAATATTCAATTCCTTAAAGTAAACTTGAAAATGTTAAACCCCGTTTAGGCAAATAAATGCTTCTCGTTTTAAGAAAAATTTAAAAATGGTGCGGTGACGTGGTTTAAATTTGGTGTTATGATTATATTGATACCTTAACAAAATGTATGTTCAATGTTTTACATTCATTAAATAGTGCTTTCAAATACTTGCTTTGGAGGTTTAATCGATCCAACAAAACAACCTCTGAAACAGAGAAAGAAGCATTTCCCGTATTGCAAAAAAAAATGATGACACATGATGACCTGTATTTGTTGGCCTTCTATTTTTTTCAAAACAACAACAACTACAACAACAATAACAAAAAGTTATCAATTTCTCAAAGATTGGAAACATTGGATTTTTTTTATTTGTGTAGCTAATGCGATTTTGTTGTTTTCTTCAGATTTTCTGTACTTGTGTTTTCACTCATTTAATACAAAAACGAGGTTTATAAGATTGTCTCAACAACAAAAACACACCCGCCCAGTCGCATTTACAGGTATAAGTATATCTCAAGGGATGTACATATTGTATTTAAATCTAATGTTTTGTTTAAAGAATATTGTGCATAATTTCAATTTAGTATTTAGTATTAATACGATATTAATACGATATACTACTAGTAGTAGGTTTTCTTATATGTTTATTTGAAATTCTTATTCTACAACACATTGATCAACATTTCATGTGTGCGATTAATGCAAAACTCGATTATGAGATAAAAGATCAGCACACAATTTGAGAAAGTGGTTTACGCATAATTATACTGCAACTACGACATTTCTAGGATAGTCTTCTTGACATTGTTATAATACAATGTGCACAAGATTGTATATACATAATTATCTCCAGCACACACAACACATTGTCCCAATTCTAAAATGAACTTTTTGTAATACTAATTCACTGTAATACCGCCTGCTTAAATAATCAGCAAATCAGGATTATGGTACAATCGATTCAATGAAAATTATATTTGCGAATTAGATCACGCGTTGGACATCCATAGTAGTGTGCACTGATCACGATTTCTGATAACCTGGTTTCCCCTCTGTACGAATAACAAGTTAGCTTCCCACTCTTGTAGTATGTATGTGATTGATTGCGTGCACCAACATCTATAACTCCAATATTGTTGCATTCTTTTATGGATACAGTATTTCATACATATTTTAAAAAGGCAGAGACAATTCGCCCTGCAACGGTGCGTTCAACAGATATATACCCAATATTAACTCCGTAGTGGTTCGTATAACAGAAATGGACCCAGTATTCCTTCCACCGACGTGTATATTAAAGAAATAGATCCACTATTCACGGTTATTGCCATTGGCTACTATACTATGACAAGCCAAGTGTTGCAATATTATTAAAAATAAATTTCTTTTTTAAAATCCATATTTCATTCTATAAAACGCAATTTATGTTTGTAAATTCTATTTTACATTCAATAAAATATTATTTTGTTTTCTAAAAATTTTATTTGATTTCATCAAACGTATTTCTGTTCGAAGAATTCCTATTTAATTATTCAGACGCCATTTTGTATTGTACAATTTTATATTTCATTCGGTACACGCATTTATATGTTCAAAAAAGCTTATTATTCTCTGTCATTCATTTCACTTCTGATACACCGAATTGTGCTTGGGGTAAATATATGTTTCACTTTTGAACCAAAAATATTTAATTTGTGAAATATTTCATGCATGATTCTGACAATTTTCTATGTTGGTTCATAAACCGTAACAAACTTAGGGGGTCTGCAATTGTACTGCGCCTGCATGGCGTCTGGTCCTGTGTCGTGTCCCTCTCACGTTTAGTTAGAGTGCGTATGGATGATGAAAGTGAGGCAATTCACAGAGAGGGACTTAAGAAATTAACTTTGAGGTCTCAATGTCCTGATGCAAGTGGACTTCGGTTCCGACATGAAACCGACCATTATAGGTCCCGGAACAACATAAACTCGTCGTTGGGCCATAAGGCCCCATAGCAATGCCGAGTTAGCAGGATCGATTCTGTGTAGTGAACTTCTGACTCTGTAGCGTTGCACTATTATATTCCTTGCCCACAAATGATCCATCATCATGACTGCCCCAGAATGTGGATGATCACTGCATATCTCACAAATAATACCATCAAAGACATCATCACTGAATTACTGTAACGTGATACATTATTGCCAGTCTCACAAATCCTTCTGCATAGTGTTGTCCTGTGTACGATTAAAATGGATGCTATAGTTACTACCTTATACTAAAATATGTTTGGATATTCAAAGTAATAACAAATTCCCAATTCCGGCCGGGTTAGGCTTAAAATAGTGACCACGAATATTAACTTTTGAAATATAATTGTTGGTATGTGTTGGTTCTTGAATATGGTTCGTCGTCCTGTAGTTTGTTTAGTAATTTGAACTTCCCAGATTGCGTAAAGCCAGATAGTTTCGCGATTTTTACACCGAAAATGCCTTGGCTTAATTATTTGCTGAGGGACGGTCGCTTAGGTATGTGCTCTGTAACTTGCAGCACATGAACCTAAAAGCGTCAGGTCATCAAACAAAAATGACGGTGTACTAAAGTACGTTCATTTTTTCGTAGCATAAAAACGATGTGCTCCCTCTCTTATTGTGACACCCTCAAATCGACTGATTTCCATTCCTCTCAAAAGTCAACAATGGTATATTCCCCTATTTTACGCACGGACTCGAAGCAGTCATTTTTGCTTGACGTGTTCATTTGCCTTCAATTACGTCTTGGTGGTTGTCACTGTCGTATTCTGAGTCTTACCAATAACATTTTGGTTCAAATTCACGTTGCTATCACCGAGAAAATTCAAAAAATCTGTCAGTAACATACCGGAAATCAACAATAACATAACGATGCTTTTGCCCTTCGGCGCCATTTTGAATTTTCCAGGTACCACCATGGACATACGTCCATGTTACCACAGACAACTCAGTAGAACATTTAAACCTTATTATAGAAATTCGCTCGCCATGCTAAGCAATCAAAACAAATTTATTTGCGCAAAAGTACGTACAAGGTCTTCACTTTCTCGTGGCATGAACACGGTTTTCACCCTTGCTTACTAAAAGTAAAAGTCGCAATCACCGTAGCTATCGCCGCGGTCAGTAGTCTCTCACCTCTTGGTTATTATTGTCGTCCAAGTAATTCACGTCCCTAATTTGGGTTCCCAGGCGCCTCTAACAAATAAGCTACATTGTATATTACCGCTGGACTGAATCAATGAAATATCACCTAAAAAATGGATGATTCCGCTCGGAAATCCATTGACGCTAAATTTAGGTTCCCGGGGCGCCTCTAATAAATAACTTATCTAAGCGCTGGGCTGAATCACCAAATAAACATGGAGGATTGGGCGAACATTTGAAACGTTCGTTGTGATATTGCATTACATTACGTTGTTGTTGTGCTATAAGTTGCGTTTTAGAGTCCCTCAATTTTGTTTCAAAGACTGCAGTTGCACAGAGATAACCAGAACGTTGAAAAGCTCGTCGTGAAATTCACTTGCAGTAAGTTACGTTTTCGGAGTCCCCCAAATTTGTTTTTTACCCTTGTCACTTATATTCCTACGCAAGAGTGAATTGAAGCACTAATATTTGTTCCTGGGAATCTGTGAATCAAATAATACAAAAAAGGTGTCACTATCCAATTTTCAAACTGCATTCATTTTCGCTGTAACTTTACATTTACGAAAGAAAGAAGGTTTCCCATTTTTCTGCCTAAGGATGTTTTTGACATAAGAATTAAATAGATACATTGTAGGTAAAAAAAAATACAACAGATTTCACTAGCATGAGTTTTATGTGGGCCCGAAAACTAGCAAAGACGGGCCTTACTAGGAACTACTTATTCCCTCACCAGAGTGAAATACACCACGAATGTTTGTTCCCCCGGAGCCTGTAATAAAAGTGAATTCATGTTTGTGTAGTTTTGGGCCTCAACGGTTACTGCATTTCCCGGAATCTTGCCAATGTCTATTGGGTCACAATCACTGTAGCTATTGCCAAGGTAAATAGTCTCTCACCCCCTTGTTATTATCACTGAATTTTTGTCGCCGGAGTGATTCACACCCCAAATGTTGGTTTCCCGGGCGACTCTAAATAAAAATACATGTAGTCTATCTAACCGCTGGAAAGATTGGGCGAAAATCGGTTTTTGGCCTCAACCTTTTTTCACACCGAAATACAAGAGCGATAAGACTCGATTTTCAAAGATATTGGACGACTTATTTTGTTTTGAGTTCATTGTATGCCTAGAAACATAGCAATGTTGTTATTTTGGTGAATCTAGAACATGATCTGTTCCAATAAAGGATATGCCAAACGAACTATTTTAATGGTTTCCTACTGGAACATCTCCTGGATAAATAATCCTCTACTCTCCAAAATTTGACAATGGCAGTAGCCCAAAATGGACTTCCTATTCAGCACGTCTTTGATTGTATTAATAATTTTTACGTTGACATATGTAAAGACACTCGCGAACTTGACAATATTCACTCTCAGACCACTAAGCAAATAGATGGAAATACCAGTTACATCACGAATGAAGACTGATTACTCTAATTCGGGTCGGGATAGCTGTATTTAGTGTTCATTTCTATGCAATTGCGATTCTCAATTTATATGTGTAAAATCATGCCGCTGGTGTGGACGACGACAGATTGTTTTGGTTCTGTGGCTCTCTGACGTTTTCTTGGTTGCATTTCGTATAAACCAGTCAAACACTGATAAATAAATGGTCCGGGACATATTCAACATGGAATGCCGCTAGTTTTGGCCCAGACGTTTCGGCCAAGCGTTTCGGCCAGGGCGGATGTTTCGGCCGTAGCTCTTTTTGTTGCCGACATAAGTGAAGCCATACAGAAATATCTCCCAATCAGATCAAGCAAACAGTAGTGGTATAAGAAAGCAACGTTTTTATATTATTGTTAATATACGTAATGGGCATAAGAGGACATAATGATTTCTTTGATTGTGAAATTTACATATATCGTTATATGTTTTGACATCAGCTATTTCATAACAATAAGTGTTGGCAGTATAGGTTTGTTTAAAGATATTCGGTTTATTCAGGAGTGGAAAACAGTGATTTTTCGACCAGTGGAAGAAACAATTGAGTGACTTGCCATTTTCAATGGTTATTTAGATATCCATTTTTTTTAATTGTATATATTTACTTGGTTTTAAATTTTTATTAATATTATTATCGGAAATATTTACCGAAATATTTAACACATATTTTATTACGTGACATCGGCATTCAGTTGTTTACATTTAATACATAGTCACTCTGTGGCTAAGATCATTGACCGAAACGTCCAGGGCCAAACGACCATCCACCGTCAACATGGGACTCTGAATAACAGGTAGGACCTGAAGATGGCGTCACCTTACAGCATTAAATTCACATTACAATTGTATGTGTCCTGGAGAACAGAGTATACAAGAACTGAAAACTGCACAGTGTAGTCAAACCAGTAAGCAAAAGATAATATGAATACTATGATACATGTATACATGAACATGTAAAAAAAATTAAAAACCTGTAGCTCACATGGGCAAGTTGACAATCCCTAATATTGCTAAACCGTCAGTTTAAAAATATTCTCAACTCCGATGAAAAAACAAGTTTCTGTCACTCACCGCGAAAGTCAATCATCGCGAAATCCGCTCAACGCGAAGCTACTAGTAGTATAAGTAAATCTTAATTGCAAGAGAAATGTACTTTTTCCATATCAATAAGGAACCTAGGTCGCCTTGGGTGTTCGGTTCTGATTCACAGTCGACTATCATTCAATAGCGCCGGTGTTGGACATCTATTCGATTCTGCCAATAGTGTACGTTCATTCCAAATAACAGACAACATTTCAAGGCAGGAAATCAATTGACGGATGCGCATGTACTCGTTGTGCATCTCATTCTCATTCTCAATAACACTTACAACAAACCTTAACGTTCTTAAAAACGCTGCAAGTGACTAAATACAACTTGTATGAAAGTTTCATCTTGATCACATAAGTTATGGTCGCATATGTCCAATAACTGATCTATACTGGAAGTAAAATCTTGCCAAACTGTGAAGTTCGTGGCTTCTGTACCGGAGTTTATAACGTCCGCCATGTTTGACCAACAAATGTTGCCTCCTAAGTTTGTTATGGTTTATGAACCAAAATAGAAAATTGTCAGAATCATGCATGAAATATTTCACGAATGAAATATTTTTGGTTCAGAAATGAAACATATATTTATCCAAAGCACAATTCGGTGTATCAGAAGTGAAATGAATGACACAAAATAACAAGATTTTTTAAACATATTAATGCGTTTACCGAAATATAAATTTTACAAAACAAAATGGCGTCTGAATAATTAAATAGGAATTCTTCGAACAGAAATACGTTTGATAAAATCAAATACGAATTTTAGAAAATAAAATAATAATTTTATGAAATGTAAAATAGAATTTACAAACATAAATTGCTTTTTATGGAATGAAATATAGATTTTACAAATGTAAATCGCTTTTTATGAAATTAAATAAGGAATTTACAAACATAAATCGCGTTTAGGGAATAAAATATGGATTTTAAGAAACAAATTTATTTTTAATAATATTGACTTGCCATACTAGAGCTCACACTATATATGATGTATCTTATTTCTATGAGATACACAAACCAAAATCAACCTCACGAAATTGATTGCGTGCACCAACACCTATAACTCCAATATTGTCGCATTCTTTTATGGATACAGTATTTCATACATATTTTAAAAAGGCAGAGACAATTCGCCCTGCAACGGCGCGTTCAACAGAAATATATCCACTATTAACTCCGCAGTGGTGCGTATAACAGAAATGGATCCAGTATTCTTTCCACTGACGTGTATATTAAAGAAATAGATCCACTATTCACGGTTATTGCCATTGGCTACTATAGCTCACATATAAATAGGATGTATCTTATTTCTATGAGAGACACAATCCAAAATCAACCTCACGAAATCATATAATTGTTACTATGTAACGAACCAATATGGCGGCGACAGTAGTTTCGTATTACACTACAGGTTTTTTTCTTAGTGAGGAACGTGACAAAACGAAACTATTTACGAATGTTATCTAAATGATGAATCAATTTGTGGCATTAATTGATATATTTTAATTTGTAATAATCCGAATAAAATACATATAAACGAATATTACTTGAATGATATTTGCAGTGCTGGTTGTACAGTATTTGAATGACCGCGTATGAGATTTATGGGTGAGTTGAGGAGTTTGTAGTCAGTAATTCTGAAAGACAGTGAGAAACGAAATGCTATTTATGTTTGGTGACTAGTTTATTGGGAATGTGTATATGATTGTCTTCTAATGTTTGCCATCTAAGCGCAGATCTTTGGTCATTATTTTTTTCAGTCTACATAGAATACAAGGTAGCAAAGTTGATAATCGATTGGAGACAAATGTTATATATATGTATACGTGTGTTACTGTAAAAGGGTTAATTATTCACTTGGTTTTAATTTTGCTTATTTCGCTGACTGGAAAATGCGCTAAATTAAAACCCAGTGAATACGTAAAATTGAGCATAGAACACATTATCTAAATGATAAAACCGTGAATTTAAAACCCACTAAATATGCCTGAAATGCTAAATCAGTGAAAATTAAACCCAGTAAAATTAGTCATTTTACAGTATTTGAAAATCATGAATACAGATTGAAATGTTTACGATTAATTATTATCAAATTGCACCCTAGTAGCGTTAGTCGGCATCCCCTCTGATAAAGTAACATGGACCTAACGTCAATAAGTAGTGTATGTACATGTATGTACATTGAGCAGGTTGAATGGTGACTATCATAACGGCAGCTTTTCATACCTCCTATTCCACATCGCATCGCATCACATCACATCACATCACACAAGACTGTACTTCAGGTTCAACTATTTCTCTCATTTCTGTGCTCGACAATTCCGTCACACAAAATGTTAAGGAACGTCAGCATCAATAACGATTTACCAGACTTCTCAAACTCCAATGATTATATACGGGACTACAGCTACGATTACCCGGATATAGCGATGTCAGCAGACTGGCAAACTATTTTAACAACTGCTTTCACTCTTACTATGGTGCTGTCAATCACTGGTAATGCCTTAGTCATTGTTGTTCTTCTCTGCGGAAAATCCGGAAGAGGCGATTTAAATATATTTATTGTAAACTTGGCTGTGGCTGATGTATCGATGGCTGTACTGTCCATGCCGTTCACACTCACCACATTGATGTACGGACATTGGATATTTGGTGCGGCAATGTGCCCAGTAATGCTGTTCGCACAACAGGTAACTATCAGCAAACTATACATCTGTTTATTTTGTATTTAATGTTTGAACATGCATACTTAAAAGGCAATATCATTATTATGCTTTACTAATAATGAAACACTTCAATTCAATGCCGTGATACCCCTACGTCAATACTATTATGCCATTTGAATTTTGTAAAATGAAGTGACGTGACACAAGTTTAGATTGCACTTCATTTTTCAGACTTTTCTCGTTTATATATTATAATTATTTGTTTTTACTCATTCAAAGAAAGTATATGTAAATAAATTTACAATTGTTATTCAGCTATAGTATGTGCTGTTCGGGTTGAAAAACCTGAGTTGGCAGAGCGGTATAATATATACATGTACTGGTAATGGAGATCTTAGTTAATGGGAATTGCACTCGAACGAACCAATGTTTTAGCAAATGTGACGATTTATTGTATGTAATTGACATGTCAGCACAGTCTGCATCGTTGTTTTTTACAGACGAAGATCGGTACTACGAATGCCAGATATTTTGAATATATTTATCGTACTTACAAAATTGCTATTCCTATTGTTCTACACTAAAAATCTTGTATTCAGCGAAATATGTTTACTGTGTGTCCTAAGTTGCGTAGAGTACACATGTAAACTTGAATGCGGTGTGATTCATAGTTGTCACGGAGTCTACTGGTCGACAATTCTGTAGAAGTTGTGTATTTGCCATTTTGCGCTAGTTAGTTTCACGGTCGAGTGAGAACGAGTAATGCAGGGGATATAAAACTTAGTAGCAAAAACTACATCATTATATTTGGAAGGTTATGTTATGTATGTATATTCACATTCTCTCAGAAATTCTATTGATCAAGAGGCACATCCAGACCGAAATCGACGAGTGAACATGTTATTTTGTTTGAGACAGCCACTTCCTCCAAAACACTGAGCCATGGTCAACATTCATGGCAAAGAAGTAGCAAATTATTGTCTTACAGCGTATAGTCTATGCGATGTGAGAGTGCTCAATTTTTTTCTTCCAGGTGTCGGTATGTGTCAGTATTTACACTCTCACTGCAATTGGCATGAACAGGTATTTCGCTGTAATGTATCCACTGAAAATAGGATGGACAAAGAAACATAACCGAATTTTCGTACTGTCAGTGTGGGTAGTTTCTGTTATTTTGAGCATTGTACCACCCATCGTTGGCTACACCAAAGAGGAGTACTGGGATGGGAATACGATTTTCCTTTGCGCAGAATGGTGGTCCAATGAAACATCATCAGCTATTTATGAGTTATTCGTCATGTGTATTACCTATTTCATACCACTGGTACTGTTAGCATATACCTACATCAGTATTGGCCGTAGGCTTTGGGGAAGACAAATACCAGGAAATGCCGATCACAACAGAGACCGGACACAGAAGAGAGCTAAACGCCAGGTGTGTATGCCGTTTCTTTTCACATGCACGTCTACTAACATTTTTATTCTATGTCTAAACACCGTGGGTACAGAATATTTGATTTTAGTAATTGCCTTCCCAGCTCAAATTTGTTAGAGGGGAATTGTGTTTGATGGAAGGGTCTGTGCATCACTGAACATCTCACCTCACCTCGGAAGAAGACATATATGGCTTAGCACTCCGAGTATATTTCATTATATGAGGAGTCGAGCTCATCCAAGTCCTGCTAGCTTTTCGTGGTGGGATATATTGTCTTTTAATATTTCGCCGTAGGTAATGAGCACGTACGTTACGAGAGTACATTTTGTCTGTATGCAAGCGTAAACTATGGGAAAGCCCTTCCAGTGTTGCAGTGTGGGGGTTGATTAGCAAATTTTTTTTGGAAATAAAATGCTTTCAACAAACTGGTGTTATTTCAGCTCAAAACTCTATTTTTTGTGTGTTTTCATTCGACTAGTTTGATCACTTGTTATGTGTGTTGTAATATATTCTACTAAATAGACTGTATAAAACGTTATGAATCGTCTCATAACTTCTGAGATATAATATTTAACAATAGTTTACGCATAAATAGTTTCATTAAAGGGGCACCTTCCAGTTAAGCCTAATCTCACAACGAATTTACTTTCTGGATTAAAATAAGAATGGATAACAAAAGATAGATTAACATTGTAAACAACATAAACAATAGTGTCCCATGATTCTTTGGTGCAATCCATGGGATTGAGCGGTTCCTCTTTAAACACGGCATAGACACGTATCATGTACACAGTGAAGAAACATGTTCTGCGTTTTAGAGTAAAGTCTCATATACGGACTCCTTTCACGACTTTTATTTTGCAATACTGGTATAGTACTTTATCCATCTATGATTGACATTGAATTAATAAAGACAAATGAACATGAAATGAAATAAAGACCATCAATAAAACAAAGTTTGTCGATTGTTACATGATGTGATGCGGCGATTTGAATTTTAAGGGCGATTGCTTTCTTGTTTTCCCCTGTCACTTTTATACAATCATGTTTACATAATTTCAGGTAGAAGAAAAAGGTCTGCAATATTTTTTTCCAACATCATTGTCTGATTTTTTTCGGTTCACCATTATATATAAAAGCCCAGTCTATTTCAGAATTCTGCAAGTTTTACATGACCTGCTTGCTGTGAGAATTCTCCTTTGCATTACCAGGTCATTTTATGGAATAACATTAAAGGTATACTGACGTCATGTTTCCTATATCTTAATAAACTTTACAACTTATTCCCTCGTCACTTGGGTTCTGAAATAATACACCCAATGAACCTAGTCCTTTAATTTAGTTTCCAATTATTTATGATGAATTGCACAAAAGCTAAATATTATTTTTCGCTATTTCTTGAGTTTGTTTATTTGCCAAGTTTCAGGTACAAATAAATGCGATAACAATAGTAGATATACAAACAAAACAAAATGATAAATGTAAAAAATAAATAACAAAGTGTACAAGTGTTTTTTAGAACACATGTTGGGTGATTAGGCGAGAAAACCATCTGCTGTTACTAAATTGGGGTGTACGTTACCAATAAGTTTTGACATAATTGATTGTGTTGTGTCGACAACTGACGACAATTTTTCTTACTTTTGCAACGGCGACATCGGAGAGAGTCGATGTATGGCCTCCTAGTATAACGTTTATGTAACATAGAACCTCAGACAAGTAAGACAGAACGATGGTCTTCGCGCATGTGCAAGATTTGTGTTGAGAAAAAAACACATTATTTTCCCACAACGCAACGCGCTCTAGTAAAATGGCGGAGAGTACTCGTTTGTAGTTTTGAAACCCAGAGCTATATTGAACCCAGCTAGCACGACATTACTACAGGTTAGGCTGGTACAGCGCATGCGTATTACCTCACTAATCTGTACGTGTTTGGGATATGTTGCATGGTGTTATAGTTATAGTCACCCTGATTCATACATTGCATGCGGTCGGTGCAATGCTGTCTTTATTCCTGTATACAATAAACTACTTTATTTGGATCAAATCAAAATAAAGCATGACACCATGTATCTTCAATATTATTATCACTGCGTAATCCTGCTATTGAGTGTGTTTCCAGTCACTGCGTATCAATAACATATACGTTATACAGTCCTTGTTGTCTTAAATAATGAATCATGCAATACATGGTTTTAAGAAGTAGCGTTTATTTATTTTATAACTAATCTATAACATATTAACCGAACATTTCATTCAAATCAAATTGAGGCAACTGGTGTCCATGATATGCGGCAATGCTCCTGGTCGATACGTCTACGCGCACTCGCGGACTGGGTCGGGGTGACGTCACGGTGATCATTCTGATTGATCAATGGCAGTTTTCAAATTTATAAAAGTGTTATGTCTATGAACCGTACATTTTATAAACGGCTTTCTGAAAGCACTGAGCGATACACAGTGAATCACACAGTGACGGTTATAATTGGTGCGTGCGCGGCATTGTATTGTAGAAACACATTGTCAATCAAAATGTATATCTTTACAATTGTTTTTAGGTCATAAAGATGTTACTTGTAGTTCTGATAATGTTTGCGCTTTGTTGGCTTCCTCTTCACATATTCAATATTGTACAAAGAGTAAATCCTCATCTACTACAGCAAGATACAACCAGGATGGTTAACGCTGGAGTACTATGGCTAGCGATGTCTAACAGTTGTGTAAACCCTGTCATTTATAGCTTTTTAAATGGCAATTTTAAGGTGAGTATACCAAAGTAAAAATCGTAACCAGAGAAACACAGTCTGCCTAATATAGTACTCAGTTGTTGATGCTGTTGTTGTTGTTGTTTTTTAAATCGATAAAAGCAATCTATGATTGTAAGTTGAAGTGGTAATGTTTATATCACGTTCCTTTAAGCAAATTTCAATAATTGTGTATGATGGTGCTTTTTGATAAATACAGTTTTGTCATTATAATAGTCAAAATTGCAATAGTCGTATACTTAAGATATATATATAGAGAGAGAAAGTGCACACATACCCTAGTGATTATGAGGTTATTTATAATTGATATTGTGAAATAATAATGTTAACGCCCAGCTTGAAAGTTATAAATTTGTTGCAAACATATTTGAATTTTAATAAGCAAGGATACCGAATACTCTGTACATTTGTATTCTAGTTTAATAATGGGAGTTGTCAAGAAAATCAGGCTAACATTTGCATAATCAGACGGCGTAATTTAATTACTTTTGGAGAAAAAAAAATAGTCACCATGAACAGTCGTCGCTCAGCGCGTGTTCGTATTTCATGTAAAGAAACAATGTATTTTACACACGTTGTGTACGTCGATATGAGTCCCATATCGAACGCTACTGTAGGAATTTAAGAACTATATCAATAGATTAGGCAACATTCTGTTGTTCAAAAAAAGTCACTCATATGTTAAATAATCGAACATAATTATTTCTAAATGATTTACGCTCCGCCCATCTTTTTAGTTTGTCTTATGTGTAACAGTCAGGCGCTTAGACACCAATGCGATGCCACATTTCACGATGAATATTTCGGTTTTGTTTTCAGAGAAACCTGATTCTGCTGTGTGGGTGTTCGCGTAACTGTCCGAACACAGCGAATTTAGGAAGATCACAAGGACAAACTTTGTCAACAACAACAACAACAACAACAACAACAAACATTCAGCAAGGAAAAAGTACAACTTATAGTGAACCTTCAATAGAACAACTCGACATGGAGGAGTCGGTGTAATTATTTAGCAGAGCAATGAACTAAATGACACACAATGACATTAGTGATTAGTTGAGTTGTGTTATTGTTGAAATGGGACAACAACTTTTTAAATTACTTGTGGTCAGGAAAATCTTAAGTAACTTTTGAAACCACTCGAAGGTAACGCTATATGCTGATATTCGCTCGAACTACTAAATGCGACGGTGATAAAGTAGTTTAAGAGACTTAGATTCGCGGAAATCCATTGTCGTTTCGAAAAGACGTTTTATTGGATATATATCTTGATTTTGAGTAAAAAAATGACCCTAATTACCACATGATATAAAGAGATTATTTGACTATTTCCTAAACTATTTAATATTGTGTCTCTATTTATGTATTAAGAAAAAACAATTCTACGTATAGTGCTCACATGGTGTACTTACTGTTAAAAAAATTATTGAACCATATCTATATACAAATTCACCATTATCTATTACTTCAATTGTGCAATCAATCTGATTAAAATCTGATATAGTGTACGGGCTTTAATTATTTTGGCTATAAACTTATTTTAATTTTATTACTTTTGTTATTAATGCCTTTTTTATTATTTTACTTCGATTTTTTTGTTGTTTTTTTTACTTCCGCTCTACATACAGATCCTTGTTGGCTTTTGTAATTACCAAAACTTCAAAAAATAAATACTAGATCAAAATAAAATAAAATAAATATACAAAAAAAAGCCAAAACTAGGATCTTATTTTAGTCAGATTGGTGTGCAATGTGCGTCACATGAATGTCGTATCATACACCGTAACATCGAGGCATGTGCTCATAACAGGAACATTGCATTTGGTGAAACAATATTCAGACCAACTTCCTTGAATAGGCCTACTTAAACTATACTAACATGCCTGAAATGCCACAATTAGACATTTGCATTCCTGAAATGATTGTACACGATCAAAATAGATTATGGACAATTGTTTAGATCTAGTTGGTGTTTGGTGGTTTCTCAATTCTAATCATTTGAAATTTATTTTGGCAAAACATAATATTATTATAATATAAGTTTAGATAATTTTCTAAGTTGCCGTATTCAACACTGTGGCAACTATTATTATTCCCTGTGATCTCTCTGATCATTCAGCTATTTCTCTTAATCTTTGTTTTGGATGCGGATTCGCCTAGGGGACTTCATAGTAGAATTTCAATACTGTTTTTTTAACGGATACAATTTATTCTGAGTTAATTAAAGATATCGATCCAAGAAAGTTTAGAATTTACTGAGCCATTGAGTGGACAGAATTGGATTAAATTTTGTATTACACAATTAACTATAAAATATAGTAATATGTGTTTATGTAATTGTGACTATATTTATATGTGATTTACCTCTTGTTCAGGTATCCAGTTCAGGGGTATTTTTTATCATCAATATCTACATATGATATGATTAAGACTATTCTGAACACTGTAATAAGATTGTACATTATATGGAACACATATAAATGTTGTTGTTTAGAATTCTCTCATATTGAGTTTGTGCTGTTTTCTCGACTTTAGCTGTTTTCTATGGCCTTTCAAAACAAAGCCCAATAAGTGGTACAGTGATGTTCGTTCTGTGGCGGAATTCCTTCCCCGAGAATACAGCTATATACTTTTTTGCTTACTCTCACAATATTTATAAGAATTTTTCATGATATAATATATAAATATGTGTAATTGTCTTCAAATAATATTTGGCTGTATTTGATTAGCGATTTCAATACATTTTGATTCAAATAGATGTAATATTTACTAGTATACCATATTTATATATCAATGCATTAGTCAGTGTTTTAAATTCTGTTCTGATGTGAATTACGCGAGAATTTTAATAAATCTTTCAATATAAACTAATTTCCTACTACAATACCTTCTATAATATTATCCAAAAATAGAGTGCGATAAGTTTATTTATGTGCTTTACAATACAGACATTATTGATGCATTGGAATGTTTTGATGCAACATTACAGTCCAATTTGCGTCTATATTGTTCCTTCTGTGCACCCACCATTTTTTTTTAACCTTTTTGATATAACCATAGACCCTCTATGATATAACTTTATAGATAGTATAACTTAATCTGAACTGTGTTGACCATTTTCGGAATGTATTGTCTGTGTACTTTGCTGTATTTTTATTAGGATGTTCATGAACTTAAATGTTGCTCTTCAAGTTGCAACTTTCCAAGAATAATCCATTTTTTTATTTATTTATTTATTTATTTATTTATTTATATATTTATTTATTTATTTATTTATTTATTTATTTATTTTTATTTATTTATTTATTTATTCAATAATTTCAATTAATATTACATTATGGATTTGATTTGATTTGATTTAAAATAACATAGTTGTATTGATTGTTAGTAAATGGTTTTGTAATACTGGAATATTCTTGAGGTAGGAAAAGGTACAAAAGTGTGTTTACTCGTGGTACACTGTGTAAGTACTGCTTCATTATTATCCCTAATTGTCAACCATTGCTAATACAAATTCAAGTAAGTGTTAATGTGAATTAGCTCCAATTGTTGTCAAATACACTTATAGATAAACAATGGTTATTTCTAAGCATTTCTAGCAGTCTTCTGAAATCAGTCAAATATATACACTGTTCAACAGAAATAACAAAGAAAATTGTTATCTTCCTTTAATAACAACATTCAAATTTCTTATTTATCGTTAATTTATAACATATTGTTATTTAGAACGTATATGCTTCAATTAGTTGGAAATATTTTCACTTTGTTATTACAATCATGTTTAAGCGTTAAATCACATACGTATATTGTACATGAAAGACTTTTCGAAACTGGGCTGTATTAGGATTGTGTGTCACTGTGAATACATTTGTTCTGGTTCAGAAACGAGTGCATCTTATCTGTGAAACCAGGTTATATTTCTCTTGTCTGAAAAATTATATATCATATCAATATTTGGTTCCTTATAATCAGTAAAAATCACAAACTTGAAGGATATAATTTGTTGTCTTTAAATTCAGAAGACAAGTTTGTGGTTTTTAATTGATACCTTCATAACAGTATTCGAATTAGCTTCACGTGGCTGTTATTATTATTCATTCAGACATCAAAACTAAAATTATCTTTTATTTATTCCTGAAAATCATATTCTAATTGTTATTGTTGTTTTTCTTGAATTTATCACTCATACCTTTTTAAACAGTTTTCATTGAAATATTTGTTTATATTGCCAACATAATTAGACACTTTTAATCCAATAATTTCTTATATTTTTACAAATATATGTCCTACAATTGATTTTGTGAATCCAATGGCTTACTTTATCAATATAATTCTCATTATAACATTTATAATCTCTAATGTGCTTTAATTGTAAATCTTTTTGCATGGCAAATATATTTAATAAATTTATTGAAAACAACTTTAAGTGTTGTACCATTATAATCAAGTCGAGATAATTTCTTGTGTGATTTACTATCAAACCATTTTTCATAAGTAAATCCAATATTTGTATTTTAATCTACTCCAAATTCATCACATGAATCTTTCATTACTACTCAAATCACATAAAATTATGGACAGCAACGAATGGATGTATCTGAGGTGAATCAATAAATAATCAATAAATAACTTAACGTATGTCACCACAATAACTTGCTGGCAAAAAGTATTTGTTGGTCCTGTAGTATTTTATCACTTTAAATTGATCTTTTATTACTGTTTTTATAGGTGAATATAATCAATAAATATATCACGCAATTGTTTTATGAAAAACTCAGAATGGTGATCGAGCGTATACATAATACTCTTATTTGTATTTAAATGCTGCTGTGATAATTATTATTTCATTTAAAGCGGGAGAGTCGTCACCTGCGCACGCGCGGGAATTGAGTCCCTAGCAACGATAACAACACACGCTAAGAACGCAAAGGCTCATGGGTAGACGTTTGTTTGTAAACGATGACACGCTATGGTCACCTGACGCATGCCTAGGCTCTCCCGATTTAATAAATTGATCTATCCAATAATATCAATCAAATTGATAAGATATTTTCGCAATATACACCTTCGTGTTCTGGTGAATAATTCTGCAGTTCAGGTCAAATAATTTTAAATGTGTTATTTATAAAAAAAAATATCTAAATTGCATTATTTCAAGTAATGCCCAGAATTCTTGACATATATTTGAAATGTTTCAGTTCCTGCAAATTTTTAGTAAGACTTTAACATTCATATGAAAAAACTTACATTCTCACTATATCGATATGTCATTAATTTTCAATACTATTCGCAATCATTGTATGTACAGTACTTTATTGTATGTATTGTGCGTGTTCTTCCAACAGCTACATGTACTCTTTTTCTTGTCCTGTTTGATTTGAAACCATAGTGAGCTACATTACAATTATAATAAAGATCTCTTGAATACAATAACTGAACATTAATTAACATCAATTTACCTTTTTGGGATAACGAAATATAACTATTTTGATGCTATTACTATATTTACGTTTTCGGGAACACATGTTTAATGTTTCGTACATCTTCGCCAGCCAAGGTTCATTTATTCGGCCATCGCCTCACCACTACACCTTTGCAAATGGTATATAACCAACGCGTATTTAAAAGCGCCCTCTCGGGCAATACTTGAGATATTGTCTTCAATTCATTGTCGAGTCAAATTGCCACGGGCAAAATTGTACAGTACAGAAGTTTTCTTCCGAGTCCCAGATTGAAATGACATTTTATTATCTGATACATGAGGGCTAAAAATCGAACTGATTAGATCAATTAATTTTATATTTGTTTTTCTTATTTTTCACTATACTAAAGAAACACATATATGACCTACAATCACCTTGAAATACACGGTAATATTCATGCATAATACAAACTAAATGCTCTCAGTATAATGTGAACATAGATTTTCAACCGTCACACAAAAACATAGCAACTGGTATTGAGAACGATTTCAATATTTTGCACAGACCGAGGCTCCGTGCCGGACTCCGAGCTGTTTGTTGAAGGAGCGAACGCATGAAATCGACTTTGGTATCTGCGTCAAATGCGCATTGTAACCGAATCAAGTGATAGTCTACATAAATAGTTTCAAGCGGGAATGTCGTCACCTGCGCATGCGTCAGATGGCCATAGCGTGTCATTGTTTACAAACAAGCGTCTACCCGCGAGCCTTTGCGTTTTTAGCGTGTGTTGTTATCGTCGCTTGGGACTCAATTCCCGCGCGTGCGCAGGTGACGATCCCCCCCCCCGCTTTAATACTACCATACCTATGTTATTCTTCTTCGGTTTTTATCGAATACAAAGCAGGGCATTTTAACACGTGACACTACATTGGGTTGACGCACGCTATGATCGCTTCCTCTGACTAATATAGAATATACTTTATTAGTCCGAGTCGCTGCATAACGGGTTGGATGAGATATTTCCCAATATCAATACTATCGATTAAGGTAGCGAGAGGGTTAAAACAAAAAAAACAACAACATTCAAACAAATATTGTATACTTTCTAAAGCGTTCGTCAAAATTTACTGCATGCGATGCTTTTGGTGTGTAATTTCGATATATTTTCATGAACCCAGCTACGGGTAAACACAGCCTCCATACATTTACATGCCAGGTTGAGTGATGGATTTGAAAACAAATGATTTAATTTGCATACTGATTTGTTGAGGCACGAAATTTTGCGGGGGGGGGGGTGACGGACACCAGACTGTAGACAGTTTTGTGCGAGACCTCACTGGCAGTATTTTAAGACGTCTATGATAATTTCAAAAAAATAAATCGTGGCAGTGGCATCGTATATTCATGTAACGACACCCCCTCCAGTATTGAGGGACTGTGATATACAGTGTAGCATACAACAGCCACGCATGAATCTCTGTTCACCATAGCCAACGCTACGTTCAATTTGTTTATCTGGAGGCAAACATTTAGCGCTAACTTGGTTATAAATATAACAAATCATTTCCATGGTTATAACAAATCGGGTAACGGTACATATATGCAGAGCGTAGGACTTGTATGGAATATATGGAATGTATTTATTTATTTATTTATTTATTTATTTATTTATTTATTTATTTATTTATTTATTTATTTATTTATTTATTTATTTATTTATTTATTTATTTATTGCTTCCCTTTTGTAACAGGGGCTCACTATGTAAATTAGGAGCTGCACCAAATAAAAAATACATTTCACTCAAAGACTAATGAAAACACTTTTGGTAGACAAAAAGAAACTAAGTTACATGAACCTAGATAACAAAATATAACAACAACAAAAACATCTAAAAGTAGCAAAAAAATATGAAAACTAAAATATAAGAAGTACACTGGAAAAATATTAAATATTATCTGTATACCTCTTTCTACTGTCCATGGCATCAACTAAGAATTTTGTTGTAAAAGTATCAATTTCGTCACACAGGACTGAATTATACTGCCTGTACTGTCACCCAGGATTAAACATAGCACTTCTTTGTTTGCTATGAAGTCTTTATGTAAATTTATTTCATTTGTGTTACATAGGAGCATTTCAATACCTTCCATTAGTGTTTTTCTCTGTGCTAAGTAATATGAAATGCTCAAGTGTTTCAGGTTCCTTTTTGCAACATGGACAGATACAATCATTATTATCCAAGTTTGCCCATTTCCTTTTCTCATATGCCAAACCAAGAGTGCAGGGTCTTGCCTTGAATTTTAATTGGGTGCCCTTGAAGTTGGATAAAGAATTTAAATATTTCTCACAATATTTTAAATTTGTTTTAAATTTTCTATAATGAACGAGACTTGATTTCTCTGCCATTTTTTGTTTCCACTGAATCTCGTCACTGTTTACAATCAAATTTTTAATATTTCTTTCAGACAGATTAGTGAATTGACTTTTGTTTATATTTCTTTCTATATCTTCAATGCTATTTATCCATGGCCAGGTCTTAATCAGATTATTCTCTTTAACTGCAGTTAGTTTATTAAAAATAACTTTTGACCATCTGGTTGATTCCATTAAACACAACCTCTTGTAATAATTCAGTTTTAATAAACTGACTCTACTTTTCATAGTTATCCACCCAAGTTCCCCTAGAACGGCTTCATTTGCTGTGTATCGACATGCTCCTAGAATAAACTTTCCAAATGTACGTTGCATTCTTTCTAATTTTTCCATATCTGTTGAACTAAATACGAGTAACTCACAGGCATACTCTAAGGCAGGTCTAATAATGTGGTTCCACAGGGATATACCATAATCTACTCTATTAACATTGCCATGGTTACCAAGGATTGATTTCATAATGGGGAATAACTTGTTAAACTTTTCAGACATTTTAATTTGTACATTGTGTAAGAATGGAGGTAAAAGACAGTAAGTAAACGAATGTTGTCACGATGACCAACCCTGTATTTAGAGACCCGATTGTACTTTTGGACTTGAATAAATTAGTTGTGCGATACGCCTTCTTTTTGAACTTAACATCCACTTTCGGTGAAATTACTAAGTTATATCACTTTCTAAAAAATAGTGCACCAATTTTCCACGTTCTAGATCACACAGTCAGCTGGCGCACATGTGATAATAAAACAAATGCGATATTTACTATATTGGGACCGCCATATTGAATGCGACATAAAACTAAACAAGAGACAAGTTGTGAAACGCGTTTTTCAGATTCCTACAAATCTTGACAAAAATGCCAATCGTTCACAGAAACACGATCCGTTGGGGGTAATATTAAGCCAACCGATAACAAAATTCGGCCGAATTACATGAAGAACATTCCCGGGGTATAATAATAATAATAACTTTATTACACAACTGCACCATCAGTGGGTGTTGTATGGTAAGGATACAGATCAGAAAAAACAAACACAAATAAACAAAAACAACAAAAATTTCAAAATTACAAACAAATCAAAGGGTATATATAAAATACGTATTACAATTAGATTTTATAAATTGTATTTTTTAAGTATTTTGCAAGTGCAGTACTACTATTTATGATGCAAGTGAATATTAAATTTCGGTTAGTTGTACTGCACATTTCTAATTTACAATCTTCTAAGAGGGTATTTCTTTCTTGAGTGAAGAAGCAACAGTCAAGGATAAAATGTTTTTCATCTTCTACAGTACCTGTGTTGCATTTTTTACACAATCTGTAATTTGCCTCCATTCTTGGAAATTTTCTCCTGCCCAATTCAATTTCCAAATTATGGTCACTAAGTCTAAACTTGGTAACCATTCTTCTCAAATTGAAGTCCTGAATTTCTGTTAAATATCCTTCAAATTCATATTCCATTTTAAACAAATTATACGTATAGTTTGAAACCGAAATTGTCATCTAACTGAAAGGCTGTCGCTGATTGGCTGCTGAGCTGGAATGACAATTTTTGGTTATATCTCCAGAAATATGAGACACATACAAATTCCAGAACCCAGTTTTAAAGATCACTATCTTATAAAGCAACACTGAAAACATCGAACTCATAGAAAAAGCGAACAACGAGAAACGACCAATCCTGTGTAAAAACCTTATTTTTAGAAGGTTCGCGTGAATGTGCGTAACCTAATCCCCTGAGCAAATATTAACACGTAAAATACACGACCGTATTCTCCTGTATCTTAGCTTTCTGAAGACATATAAATTGCCATAGCTTTCGGGAGGGGAAAGTCCTAATCACAATGAACTTTTAGCGCCCTTTCCCTTCTCGCTACAAACCCAGACTGCTATGGACTGAGCTTAAAAATAAAGACCCTCGCAAATTGTAAACCAATGTATTGTAGAGTCACTACAACAACACAATGTATCATCAGGTGCAGTCAACGAGTACATTTTCAAAAATGTTTGGTATTTATGTTTGATCAACAGTAACATAATTTATGTACATTATTAAGGCTTAATTTAATTTGGAGGGGAGTGGTCAATCTGTTCGCAACTCCCCTCCCTCTAAACCAAATTAAATTGCCCTCCCACTGTTTTTTGCTACCACTGCCCTCTCCCCACTAAAATTATACACAAAATATCCGAATAGTGAAAATAAATGGTCTTACAATATTTATATTTATACTCCAACTTATTTATGTATAAACATGACCAAACACGAGTATAGACCAATTTCCAGGAAGTCGAAATACGGCGTTTCGCATGAGTGAGCATGCTGGGTATGGAATATAACGCACTTGTATGCATGATATTGCGCTTGTCACAAAGATAAAATTCCTTTTTATCGAAAATCAGCAGACTGTCGTGTTTGTATTTGTCGATATAACAAAAGCAGGCTTCCAGAATCTCGCTACTTCCGTCACGGTGAAAGTGTTCTATTTATAGACATGTGCAAATAGTGGCAAAAATATAAACATAAAACAAGAACATTTATAAAAAAAAACAAAACAAAAAAACAACAACTCAAAACGACAAGTGAACGCGGAAAATTCGGTTTAAGAAAGTGTTGACACCAAAACAGTCGCGAAAACATCCCAACAAAGGTCTTTATGCAAAAACAATTTGACATTTGACCCTGAATTATCGCTATTCTCGTGACAATCAGCTGTTCATAAATACTGCCCTCATCCGATGCAGATTTAACACAGCTCGTAATTTCGTTAATTAAAACATCTAGCACACCGGTTTGATAATTAACAGAAAACGGAAACGCAAGACACAGTTTCCCCTTTACGACTACAGCATTGAGGATTTAGTAATAAACAATTACTAAAGGCAGTCATATTAAGGCTACTTAGCTTTCTCAGGTAAATTCGTCAGTGTGAAGTATGGCGTTGCGAGTTCCACTGGGTATCCAGTTTTGGAGGTATATTGCGCCAAGTACATCGGTATATACCAGGGATAATGGGTAAGTCCTGAGCAGTTACCAAATTTACAATGTAATGTTTCTGATAAATCTACATAGATGCCATCAGATCAGTTTAGATTGGAGTTACTCAGGCCCGTCATTGTTATGTCGCAAATAGGCTTTCACCGCCTACTTTCACAGAATGCAATCTTAAACTATTGAATGTGACCAGATACAATGAACATGAACCTTCTAAAAGATTTAACTACTCCCTAACCAGTCAGAAGTAAGCGCATTGACATGGAAATGTCACCTGTCAGGAAATGTTCGATGTGCAGACGTCTTGAACTGACTACGACTGTTCATTGAAATGGCGTATTTTTGTTGCCGTATTAGTATTACTCGTTTTTTTTTTTAAATGACCTTCCCTATCCCCCTTTCCTAAGTTGTTTGGGGCTTATTTTTAGTACTATAGCACATTTTTGATAAAGTTCTGTGATCTAATATTAATATCAAGGAAATAATGCTGCGATCTTTAACTATGAACTAGAGGTTTGTTTTGACAAATTTTATTGATTGAGTTAGGGGCTCTTACCACGTAACACATTGTGTGTCCTCACTAGTAGTGTACAAGTGGTATGGAGGTAATACATGTACGTATTCATCTTCCACAGACAAAACTTTTGATTATATTGAAGATTTTCATCAAGAAATCTGTTTAACTTAATATTTGAGTTAATCGCGGAATAATCTAATCACTGGGAAAATGTTTCCTAAATTTATTTGATATTTTAAGCATTGTTTGACACTTTTTTGACAAGTGGATTACTGCCCATAGGACAACTTATCTTTTTTTTTGCGTGGCCGTTGAATGGTGAAAATGGCAAATATATACGAACTGCCACAACTCCATCAAACGCGTTTAAATGGGCGTGTGAGATTATCAAAAAGGAAACTTGTTGCAAATGTTCTCTCCCCATCATGGGGACAAATGAGGGTGTTGGATAGGTATGTATGATAAATTTAATTATTCAGTGTTGGGAATTTTTTTTTATTATCAAAATGAACATTTCAGTTTGTAGCATAAAACCAGATTATTTTTTTGTTAATATATTCACACAGTACCGGCCGGCATATTGTGTGCCTGCTGCTCTTTCTGACCTTCATTGTACATGGGGTATTTGTAGAATTTAGCAGTTTATTCATCTATTTATTTTTATAATAATTGAAATTATTTGTTTTTGACAGTTACAATTTGGTTCGGTTCATGTTTAGAAAAAAATTGACATAATTTATCTGTCAGAAATCTTTTATTTTGTGATTTTCATTTTCTGAAAAATAATGTTAAATATGGGGAAAATAAAAAAACAAACAGGCAAAAGTGATCTAAAAAAAAAACTGAATGTAAAACACTGTAAAATGCCTACAAGTTTAATCCAGGATTAACCTTAAGAGCTCCATTGTCAACATTCACAAAATGACTGTGTACAATCTGCTCAAAATAAATATTTTTTTTTAAGTTTAATGTCGATGAAAATTGACAAACTTTTTGATCAAAAACTAAAAGCAATATCTAAAGCTGTCTGTATGGTCCAAAATAATGATGAAATTTAGTGAAAATATTTTTACTGAATTTTGGGCGGGAAAAATATCTGACACTCAAAGGGGTTTAATAAAGTAAATCTAAGAGATTTTTTTTTTCTACATTGAATACATATTAAATTATAGATATTTAAATTAAATACAATATATTGTATTTAATACATACAATTGTACATGTATATAAATTTCAGAAACAATTTTTTTAGTACCTGTCTTAATTTATTTTAAAAGCAATCCGGACATTGAACATCATTGTTGTCTCTTGACTTTTGTTTCATCATGCGCCAAAGGCATGTGCTAGTGCTGCACTTTTACCACAGACGCTATATTCATGTTTGGGACTACATGACAGGGCTGTGTGGCCATCTTTTTTATTAAATGGCAATTTAATATGCTATCCTAGCGCCAACCAGATTTTGTTGAACACAAGCGGATTTTAACTGACTGAATCTCGGTCAGTGGAATTGGCCTTCCCATTGAATCTGTAACCTTCCTTAATTAATGATTTGCCTGTAATTGATTTCTGTAGTCTTGTATGCTTGAGGGAATAATGTGTAAAAATTCTATTTTCACATAATTAAATTATTACATTATTAACATAGGTTATTTTTGTGTCAGCCAATTATCAAAGGATCACAAATTATTGAAAGTATTGAAAGCACAGTGTCGGTATACTGCAACCTGTTTACATTTTTAACACAAACTACCAGGTTTTGTCAGAATTGTTAAACTTTTTTTCCTCTGAATTTTCCAAGTTTCAAGTTTTTTAAATTTAGAGCCGATATATTAGATAAATTCATGAAAATTTATTTATTTTGAGTGTATTTTCAATGAAATGGGAACAATAGAAAGATTGACTTTTGATATAAAAGTTCATGTTATTCATTGACAGCTGTATGGTGAACTCTAACTTGACAAAACGTGCATCTAAGACCTTAGTGTTGTGGTCACTTCAGATAAACTTTTGAGTCAAAACATGTCATGTATGTATTTTGATGTACAAGTTTAAAATGACTTAGACACTTAATATACAAAATCTCTTGCTCATAAAATTCTGTGTTGATTATTTTTACGAAATAGTCTGATTAAAAATTGTTGTTGTTTTGAAATTTTTTTGTAAACAATCCATGTGGGAGAGGGGTGATAATAAAAAGCAGGTTATAGCTCCAGTTCGAGCAATTGAATTGTTTTGAATTTGGTTTCAGCTTGTCTTATGGCCATATTTTCTTTTATGATTAGGGATTACACGTAACCCTACTAATAATGTTTTTTTTCACACCGAAAATTTATGCATGAATTTTCACATTTTTGTGTATTTTCTTTGCTATTTTGGGACGAGATGGATGTGATTTCCTTTTGGTTTCATTTTGTAAAATGTGAAAATTTTTTATGTAGCTTCATTTTGTGAAAAGTGCCAAAAGTTTACTTTTATGCACAAAGTGTTAAAATTATGTGGGACATACATGTATTTTGTACTTGGCTGTTTCTGATCATAACACCTTGCGAAATTATACGCTATTTGTACTTGGATTGATGTTGTGTTTTTAAATACTGTAAAATACTTTATTTTTATAGCTGGAATTAATTTTCGCTGAAATAACTTTTTGGGTGTTTTGTATGGAATATATTGTCACTGATTTTTGGTGAGTTGAATGTAAAATATAGGAAAAAAGGTATATTTGCTGGGTTTTATTTTCACTGAATAACTCCTTCAGTGAAATTAGCAAAAATGAATTCCAAGCGAAAATAAAGTACTGGTAGTTTACAGTATGTAAGTCATGATAAAAGAGACAATATTAATTATCATGGACTGGATATGGCTTTTGCGGCCTGCGGTCATGCGGAGAGAATGCCTGAGCTTGCAAGTATAAAGTAAGGCATATGACCGAGGAGAGCATCCAGTATCTAGTCCATGAAGGATTTATCATATACCTTATAGATGTAATCACAATTTTATCACGGCGTGACCTCAATCACACTCAAACACACAACGTAATTTTGAATGATGCATTTTTTGATGATAACCTGGCACCCTGGTAATCCATGGAATGATATGCTTATTGCTCTCGTGTCAGCCCTCATAGTTATAGATTTGTGATTGGGTTCTTTTCTTGTCAATTTTAGTCATAAATTAATAACAAAATCTGTAATAGAAGCTTCTATTATAATAGTACAATGCAACAGAGGGGATGTGGCTTTTATTGGAGCATTTCCGCACATGAGAATTGATAATTTTTGGTTCTCAATTGTTCAAAAATATGGGTGTGACTTCTACTAGGGATGCAGCTTCTAATACAGATTGTTTTCTAATAATAGATATTTCAGTAATCCCTCAGAAACCCACCCCCGATGTTATCTGCTAGTTTACATTGTGTAGAGTTGTTTAATTATCATTTACACTACCAGTAAATTTAACATATCACATGTTGATGTGGTTATATATCATTCATATCAGCTATACATGGAGGATTTTAACAGGTGATTTATTCTTGTTAAAATTCTATAACAGTTTGTGTTACAATGTTGCAGCTTCAAAAATTGGTGTCATAAACACTTTATTCAGAACTTTCAAGGGGGGGGGGGGTGTTTGTTGTATTAAGGAAGCCATTAGTAATAGGATTTTAATAATAATACTTAAAATGCTTTTCAAATGGAATTATAAATAGTAACAAAAATAGTAAAGGTTATGGCAGTGTATGATTCTATCAGGGTTTTTTCTAGAAAAAAAACTGCAAGAGGGAGCACTGCAATTCAGTGGCACCACCAAGTGGGAGAGATAGGGTTCTCCCTACCAGGGTGTGGAGTTTTTCGATAATTCTAAAATGGAGCATTCTACGAGTTCCTTGGGACCAAAATTACTATTAGACAGGTTGCAGTTAAAGACTGTGGCCACATGTGATCCCTGGTCAATCGTAATTTTATGGTTGCCAGAGGATATGCTCCCAGGGTAAGGGGGTACGTACATGGCCATGGCATGAGGGCGCTGCTAAGTTTGCTTTATTTTTTAAGCTTAGATTGCTTTTGATACTGCCACATATCTGACTCATAATTTTTTTCATATTTTTTCCAAAATATAAATTAAGACTTTTAGCCAATAGTAAATATTAAATCAAATAATAAGAAATTTGCATCGTAAAAGTATGGGATTCAAATGGTTAGTTCTTGACTTGGTTTGATTTTTTAGTCTCTGTTTGAATGAAGTTCGAAACGGGGACTTATAATTCGGTCTCTGTTCGTCTTGAGTCATGTTTCAGAACTCTGTGGACTCTGTTCATTCTTCGCTTGTGCTTAGTACTTTATCTGGGACATAAGCACATGCAGTGGTTTACTGATTCAATCCAAGATGGCTGACTGGCAGCCATTTTGTTTTTTGAAATTGTGGTATCTTATGCATGCATGTTCAAATTTGGTACATATATTATACATGTTAGGATATGTGTCTATGGTGATTCGTTTCGCAATCAGATAAAAGATGGCCATTTTGTTTTATTTGAAAATGTGGTATCTCAGCATCTTTTTGTTAAATTTTATACATACATTGTACATTCTAGATTACATGTCAATGACAATCAGATCAAAGATGGCTGGCTGGCGGCCATCTTGCTTTTTAACCATATTATATCTAAGGCTTATGAACAATTTTCATTCATAGTTGGCAAATACATCATACATATAAAAATACATGTTCATGTCAGTTCCATAATCAGATCAAGGATGGCCCAAAAAACTACAGTTGTCTCCATTTTTTATGTTAATGAATTAGTTTCATGGAAATCAAGTTTTATATTATCCTCATTTCCTGTATCAGATGTGTTTATATTCTTATCCCATTTTTGTACATTTTCAAAAACTCTATCCCATTGCTGTTTTTTTAACAAATAATCAATCAAATTCTGCATGTCAATATGTTTTGTCAGCTCAGCTCAAAACTAACAACAAAATTAGAGAACAATGCAAAAAAATGAAAACACAAGTGACATCTGACATTCTGAATGTAAATATTACTACTAAGCCATTGAAAGGATTGTTCTGCAGTCTGTTACCACGACTGCTGTTTGCATCTACCATAATCTGATATTCAGATCACTATACTACACTGACAGTACACATCATGTCATTTATTAACCTTTTCACCTCTGGTTCCCGCTTTTCATCACAAAATAGTCCTATTTATAGTCTGCGCTTTTCTTCAGAAGATTGGGACAAAAATAGCCAAATTTTTGGTATAAAAACTAAAAATCAACTAAAATTTTGTCTGTTGGCTCCAAAATTAGGATTCATCTCCAGAACTATTGAAGAATACTAGAAAAAAAATGGAAACATTTGCGTGAGAAAGTGGTAGTGAGAAAGTTGAAGTCTAAATATTATACATAATTCTGCAGATTTATGAGGACCTTGGAACTGTCGCTAGAATTAACCCTTTAAATGCCGTACTTGTTTTTACTTTGTCTGTATCATCGTAGATGAAAAGCATGGTATACAAAGAGAAAATATCTATCCTCCTTTTCTTGCTAATTTGCTCAGATAAGTTGCTGTAATATTATTTTTATGAACTTGTATACGTTTCATGTTATGTTATTCTATAAGGGACATTGATATTAATTTAGTACATGCAGTATTAATTGATCATGAAGAATATTAATATTTTTTTTTGTGTGTAATTACGGTGACTTTTAGCCTATATTTTCTGCTCCTAAAAATGCCTAGGAAATATATTATTGCATTGTTTCAGGACTTTTATACTCTCCTTTGTCATGCTGCATTAAGATATTGCATCATTAGTTTGTTATCCATTCATAAATCTATTCATCTTTGCCAGCCAGGGTTCATTTATTCAGTTGTCGCCTATTATATCTTAGCAGAATTCCTGATTATATCCGCTGAACTCTCATTATAAACCTGTACTCACTATCAAAATCCAACACAACTGTACATGCTCTGGTACATTTTCATGGTAAAAGGAACATGAAGTTGCATGTGGTGATGTGTTTCCATGGAAATCAAACACAAAGTCGCGCATTTTGTCAGTTGAGCTATACTGATATAAGACAGTAAAATCTATTGTAGAAACAATAAAAGTTGAAATTGATGTGTGTTGTTATTACAGTAACACTGATTGATGGAATTAGCTCTTTGGTGCGATCTTTCAGATCATTTAATTTAACTGAGGTCAGCTTTTTTCTAACACTATCATGCACAAGTTCAAATGGACGGCTTTTGAAGGCCTGCTACAGGGAAACTGTGCAAATTCAGCTATGGCATTTGTTATTTAATGTAGTTTCTCAATAAACAAGGTTTTAATAGTTGTTGGTTTTTGTCGACGTTTTTGGTGATGAAGGATTCAAATGTTTCATGCAGAAGAGAATCTAAAATAGAGACGATTCAATAATTGTAATAATGTTTTGTTTCAAATTATGTCCAAATCATTACATGATCTACTAGATTGTTTATCAGATCATCGAAGTCTAACGACAAAAAAAAACTTGATAAATGCACATTTATTTATAGTATCTGATTTTAAAATAATTTGCCGAGTGTTTTATTTGTTTTCAATTCATAGCAGATTATGTGCAGGTTTGTAGTAGAAAAATATCACGTTTGGGTTGAAAACATCTTTTTTGAGCTGTTTCACAGGCTGAAAACACCATATGGCAAGTTTTATACATGTACATTTGTGTACATTATAAGTCGTACTGTACATTGTTGTTATCAAGGGCACTGAAGGAAAGGAACTTTGCTGAAAAGATAATCATCCCAGTTAATCTTGCTTGCATAGCTCCATTACTGAAAACAACATTTTATGGAGTTTTGAAAAAATTATAAATTTTTATCAGTTTTGACTTAGTGAGAGGTCCTTAAAGGGGCACCTTCCAGTTAAGATTAATTTTACAACAAATTTACTTTATGGATTAAAATAACAATGGTTAACAAAAGATAGATTAACATTGTAAACAACATAAACAATAGTGTCCCATGATTCTATGGTGCAATCCATGGGATTGAGCGGTTCCCCTTCAAGAGAATTTGTCACAGTGGCTTTGTTGCAGTTTGCAACGGGAAAAACGAGTGACTGTGACAACATAGTTTCCAACGTGCAGCATAACAAGCATTCACAGGTTATTCATACAGCTGAAAAAGTTAAAAATTGGCCATCAGGTACAGATGTACATGTACTGTAAAATGACTAATTTTCACTGGGTTTAAATTTCACTGATTTACCATTTCAGGCATATTCAGGGGGTTTTAAAATCATGGTTTTATCATTACCTTGCCCGTACCATCAAAGATGGAAGGGAAAGGTATATTAAGGGAAAAATTTTGTCCGTCGTTGTCGTTGTTGTTGTCGTCATCGTCGTCGTCGTTGTTAATAATTGTTATTGTGTGCATAATAACTTTACTAATTCTATTCCAAACTTTATCAAACTTGGTCACCTTATTCATCAGTATAAAATCTTCCCTGAGTTTGAACAACAGATGTCCTGTATGAAAATATCATGCAAAAATTGAGAAAATCTGATAAAATATTTTGACTGTTTCTACTTGACTGATCACTGGATACACATCAAAGGTCACTGATCTCAGTGGAAATATGCATTGTTGTATGTGTTCAATGAAGCAAATGATTTATCTTGTAATAATATCCTTGGTAATGTATCTCAGAATCCCATACTGGGTTTCAAA